GCTACTCTAATGGACTCAGCAGACGCGTCCAGTAATCACCGTCTTTTCATAATTGCTGCTGCCAGCGCGGGTATATAGAAAGCCCCTTGACGTGCCCCTTACATATATGTTCTGTGTGTGTGTGTGTGTTTATTTTAGTTACTGCAGAAAACCCTGTAGCATTTTCCACTCTTTTTCCCTTGTTTTTCTCATGTGGTTCTTGGACTCTGTGTGTCCATGTCTCAATGTTGTACTATGATAAGTGTAATTTTTCTTTGTTTTCACCGCATTAGTTGTTTCTGTCTATTTTGTGTTTTTGTATGTCGATTTTCAACATTGTGATAGTGGTCATTTTTTCAGTGCATGAATTGTTAACGAGCAGTTGTTCGTTTCTCTGTGTGTTGTATGATTTTCCATGGTAAGCCAAACTGATTGATTTATGACGCCACTATAGTTAAAATATTCTGTGTATGTTTTCTGTGGGTGTGAGGTTTTTTTTTTTTTTTTTTTTTTTTTTTTTTTTTTTTTTTCTGGGACTTCGTGCAATTCGTCATTTGTCTTTCTTCTTTCCAAACTGAACTTTTTTTTTTACAATTTGTCTTTCTCCCTTTTCATTGTTTCTCGTATACGTGTGCATTTGTGCTGGTAAAAACATTAGGTTCGTGTAAGAAATGTTTCAGAGCAATTATTTGTTTTGTTCTGCTTCTGCAACCGCACTAACACGGACATGCATAACGCCAACTGACTTTTTTAGATACCACTATTAGGTTACTGTTGTATAAGCATGTTATCTCTGCTTGAGGAGATGAATTTCTTTTATTTTTCTTTTTATTTTTTTATTTATTTTTATCCATTTTCTCTGTTATGTATTTTTTTCTTTTCCTGCTTTTCATCTACTGAGCACGTAACAACTGAGTTGCTTCTAAACAATTCTGACGACTCTTCATTTATTTTGTTATTTATACCTGTATGTTTGTTGTGTAACCGGCTAGTCTTCCACTGTTTTTTTTTTTTTTTTTTTTTTTTTTTTTTTTGCTTTCCTTCTGCAATCCCACTGTGTGGCGGCGGCGTGATTACAAACAGGACGTCTATGAGTCAAAACTAGTTGAACCGTATGCCTTGATGTGGATCCGTGTCCCCCGTGTCTGACTGCCGCCACGCCGCCCCCTGTGACCTGTACAATGATGCTATTCTGTGTTCTGCAATGCCGATCCACGTGAGCGAGAGACGACGCTTTGACTACTGGCAACTGACCCGCACACCCCTCTCCATCCCTTTCCACCCCTTTCCTTTCCTCTTCACCGCACGTTAACTGTGCGGGCAGATGTACAGCTGCAAGCACATGGCCAAAAAGAACGCGCTGGGCTTTCATTGATGCTCAATGCGTGGGACAGGCCAGGGAGAGTGCAGACGTACCAGCAGACCAATGAGGTTCGAATGCACCAGACGAGCACCGTTTGTCTCGGTGTGGGAAACGCCTCAAAGAAAGAGCCCAGCAACTTCTCGTTAATATTTCCACCCTGTCACTGCTGTCCGCTGATTATAACAAACATCTTTGCTACAGGCGATCCGACGAGATGACCTCAACGACAGTTTAACCAACCAAGATCAATGAGGACTTGCTTCCCCTTCTCTCTCTCTCTCTCTGTTTCCTTGTTTCTTTTTTTTTTTTTTTTGCTTTCCTTCTGCAATCCCACTGTGTGGCGGCGGCGTGATTACAAACAGGACGTCTATGAGTCAAAACTAGTTGAACCGTATGCCTTGATGTGGATCCGTGTCCCCCGTGTCTGACTGCCGCCACGCCGCCCCCTGTGACCTGTACAATGATGCTATTCTGTGTTCTGCAATGCCGATCCACGTGAGCGAGAGACGACGTTTTGACTACTGGCAACTGACCCGCACACCCCTCTCCATCCCTTTCCACTTCTTTTAGCGATGAATTCTTTATTCGAATTTTTTTTTGTTGTTGTGTGTATTTGAAGATATGTGTTGTAGCATATTTTTGGTTTTTTTTGTTTTTTTGTTTGTTTTCTCCTTTTTGGATAAATAAACGTTTTTTTTTTTTTTTTTCTTTTTGTTTATTTTCTTTGTTTTTTAGTATAGTTTTTTTGGTTGGATTGAAAGAGTAGTTGCGATGCAATCTTTGTCGTCGAAATTGTTGGCGCGTGTGGTGGAGTTGTATACGAACGAAGGTGTAATTTCTGTTGAGTTGTATGATGATGACGCTCCGAGGACAGCTGAATCTTTTTTTCGACTCGCATGTAGTGGTCAACTTGATGGGGCTGTCTTTTCAAGAATGATTCCCGGTTTTGTTTTAGAGTGTTCTTTGGATAATGTCCCTTTGTATGGTGAACTTTTTGAACCAGAGAGGAACAAAAAATTGCATCATACTGGTGCAGGTATTCTCTGTTGCTTTCACCCTCGAGGTGATGTTAGCACCGAAAAGAAGTTTTTTATAACTTTAGGACCACAACCACAGTTGGACGATTTGTGTACTATTTTTGGTAGAGTTTGCTCAGGCATGCATGTAGTAGAGAAAATATCTAAATTTCGTGTGGTGAATGAGAGTTTTCGTCTTTATACGCCTGTGGTACTGAAGCGCTGTGTAGTGCGTGTGTTACCGAAAGAGACAAGGCCGTATGCTTTGAATGATTTACCAGTTAAGAATGCACCGCGTTTGCAGCAACGTGCTGACGCCAAATCTAGTCTGCTAAATAATCTTGAGTGATAATAACAAAATCAGTAGGTGTTTTTTTTTTTTCTTGTTTTCTTTTTTGGTGCATTATGGTGCACTTTTATTGCTTTCCGATAATGTACCTGGTGTATGTTCTTGTCGCATACCATTGTCAATGCTTACATTATGTGTTGTTCTTATCCTTTTGTTTTCAATATTGATTATAGTAGTTACTTTTTCTAGTTTTAGTTATTGATTTTGTGCGTGCAAGACGATGTCAGAGAAGGTTGCTTGTGTGCCTGAGGCGTTTCTCTTTGGCATGCTCGGTGCGGCTGCCTCGCTGGCCTTCGCAAATATTGGTGCTGCATTTGGCACAGCAAAAGCCGGTGTGGCCGTGGCACATCTTGGTATTGTACAGCCAGGGCGCGTGATGCGTGGTATTGTACCAGTTGTGATGGCTGGTATTCTTGGTATCTACGGTCTTATTGTCTCTGTTATTATTAGCAACAACATGAAAACAAGTGGTTATATGCTTTTCTCTGGTTACATGCATCTCGCGGCAGGTCTTGCAGCAGGTATCGCATCCCTTGCGGCAGGATACGCCATTGGTATTGTCGGTGACATTTGCTGTTATGCATATGCCAAGACGGAAAAAATATTTGTGCCGATGATTCTTATGCTTATCTTTGCTGAGGCTCTAGGATTGTATGGACTTATCATTGCCCTCCTTATGAACAACCGTGCAACATCTGTCGCCACGACGTGTGTGTAGTCTTTCTCCAGACGAAATGTACTGGGAAAAAGGGTAGGAGTAAGAATTGAAGGCCAGTAAAAAAAAAAAAAAAAAAAAAAAAGAAAGAGGGAAGGAAAGAAGCGGAAAAAAAAAAAAGAAAGGATAAACGGAGGTGATTTCACTTTGATTGTTTTTGTGGGGGTGCGGCAATATCAGTGCGTTTTCATTTAGCTTTCCTGACGCACAAAGTACATGTGTGGCTCCAGTTTTGTATCAGACCCTATAACTGAGTTTGTATATGCCGTAACCTTCTCTTTTACTGTATGTGTACATATGTTTCTTCCTGCTATTATTTCTCTAGTACAGTTTTCTTTCTTCTTTGCTTTTCTTTGCTATTCTTTTGAGTTGATTCGTAGTACAATAGGTGTGTAGTCCTGGTAGACTGAACAGTTACGAACGTACTTCAAAAAGAAAAAGAAATAGGTGTGTTGGAAAAAGAAAAAAAAAAGGAAAAGAAAGGAGAAAGGGACGTGTACTAGACGTGTACAACACGTATACGTATACGTATATATTTTTATATTATTTATTTTTAAAAACACATACCTGATACTCTTGACGAATAAAATGACTAGTACCACGCCTGACATAACGTCTGATTCCTATAGCGCATCCTTTAACTCTGTTGCATCTCCTCAGAGGAGTCTGCTGCGTTGGCGACCGACGGATGCGCAAACGCTTGAGCACTATGAGTCACTAATGTTGCGTGGGATCAAGTACTATCAGGGCTTCGTTGCTGGTCTCAACACGATATCAAATGTAGATTTCACCTCTGGAGCCCCTGATAGTGATCGAGAGATTCTTGTCCTTCTTCACGGCTTTGCCGGTGGTCTTGCGTGCTGGGCGCAGAGCTGGGAATTTTTCTCCGCCCACTTTGATGTGTACGCTGTGGACCTCCCTGGCTTTGGCCGTAGTGCCCGCCCGGACGTGCGTGTGGACTCTCTAGAGGGGGCGATGGCCTTCACGTGCGGGTGTCTGGACCGCTGGTGCCGTTCGCTGCCGCTGCGCCGCCCGGCGATTTTCGTCGGCCACTCGTTTGGCGGCTTCATCGCGGCGCACTTCGCGATGCGGCGGGGGCCGGCGGCGGTGCGGCTTCTCGCCCTCGCGGACCCGTGGGGCGTCCCCGCCGCCTCGGGAAGTGCGCCGGTCCTCCGCCGCCTCGCCTGCCGGCTCTTCTACGCGGCCAAAAGTCCACTCGCGGCGCTGCGGGCGGTGGGGCCGATGGGGCCGTTCTTCTTTCGCACCGTCCGGCCGGACTTTGCAAACCGCTGGAGGGGATTCCTGCAGGACCCAAAGGTATTCTACGACTACACATATCACTGCAACGCACAGGTACCACCACTGGGGGAAATGCTCTTTAAGGCGTGCTGTGATGAGCATGTCACCGCAAAGATTCCACTTTTCGACGTTCTGCCTGTGCTACTCTCAAAGGAAGTTCCAGTCGTCATGCTCTATGGAAGTGAGACATGGATGAACGCAGAACGAGGTTTCACTATGGCAGATATCATGTTGCAAAAAGGGTATCGTATAAAGGCAGATACCGTGATGAATGCAGGCCATCAAGTATTTACGGATAATGTAGAGGAATTTAATACAAAATTGCTAGAAGCCATACAAGAGTTGTTACTCGAATCCAATGAGTTTGCTAACATACCTCCTCCAGTTAAAAATAAATGCGGTCTTGACAAGGACGACAATAATCATAATGATCATGATGATGATGATAAGTGATGGTTGAAGAAACGAAGAAAAAGAAAGAATATGTATATATCTATATCTATATACGTTTTACTCGTACGTTTTTTCTTCCCCTTTTTTTTCTGCGTGGTAGATCCTGAAGTTTTTTTTGTTTTTGTTTTTGTTTTGCGTTTGTTTGCTTATTTAGTTGCTTTTCTTTTTCTTTTTGTCTTCGAATAGCAAAGCAGAGTGCTTTGAACGTATTTATAATACTTATTCATATTCGCATATATATATATCTTTCTATTTCTTTCTCTTTGTCTGTCGGTACCTGTGTATATATGAGTGTAACGTATTATGTAAAAAAAAAAAAAAAAACGAAAAAGAGATAACCATTTTCTTTTTCTTTCATATTTGTTCTCTTCTACCTATAATATTTTTCTTGTATATATATTATATATATATATTATATATATATAATACTATGTATCAGTATAAATAGAGATTGGTTATCAAAGTTTACATGTGGGAGGAGGTTTACACCCGCGCTTGCGCAGATTCCGGTGTAAGCCCGCGCAACGAAATTCTAGCTCTCAACGATGGTACACTGGAGCTACGCGGTAACACCTTTGAACGTTTTAACCATCGCATTACAGACGATGAACTAGCGGCGCTATCGGAGGCATGTTCACGACTACCGCTTGTTGCTGTGTTACATCTTGCATACAATGAAATCTCAGTTCGTGGGGCCAAAGTCCTTGCGGATGCTTTGCAGCAAGGCTTTAATAGCCTACAGTTTCTCGATCTCTCATACAACAATCTTAATGCAGAGGCAGTGAATGCCATTACCGCTGGTATTGAATCACATCAGATGCTTGGCACACTACTGCTGCGTGGTAACCCAATTGGTGGTGGATGTGGTGATTCTATGAGAAATTTGCTTCTTAATACTTCTACCTTGACGACACTTGATCTTTCTAGTACAGATCAAGACATGAAGTCTATTGTTCAAATCTCACGTGGGCTGCTGCGGAACACAACCCTGACCTCTTTAAACTTGGGAAGACCACTAATGGACAACCCTGATGATGTCGCATACAGTATACACCACCTTACATTGGCTTTGAAAGAAAATCGTACACTACAGAGTTTGGATCTAAATCATTTTAGTATAACTGATGAACTTCTGCGTTTGCTTGTCACCTCACTTTCAGACTCAGCCGTCGTCTGTCTTTCACTGAGAGGTAACAAATTGTCACAAGATTCAGGGGCGATTCTAGCAAAATTGTTGGAGCACCGTACAGACTTTATTTCACTTGACTTGACAGCTAATCGTCTTCGTGATGTTGGTGCAGTTTCTCTTGCGACTGCCGTTGCTGCTCATCCTAGTTTGCGTGAATTGTATCTTTGTAATAATACTATTGGTGGGACTGGTATCACTGCTATTGCCAAAGCCATTGCCGCGAATACATCTCTCACGTCACTAGAGTTGTGGGGGAACGATTTCTCTGATGAGTCTGTGGCAGAACTTTATGGAATCCGTGAAAAAATTATGTCAATGACGAACGTTGATTTTAGTTTCTATGTTGTGGACGAAAAACCCATGTTGGCTCGTGAAAGATAAATATGTATATCAAGTACGTCTTTCATAATCCTATTTTTCTTTTCCCAGTCTTTCGACGAATGAAGGTAACGAGAAAAAAAAGAAAGAAAGAAAGAGAGATTGGCAGAAATGAAAAAGTAGAAAACAAAAAAGAAAAGAAAAGAAAAGAAAATGAGGGATTTGAAGGATATGGGTAAGTTTTGATGATGATGATGTCTATGTGTAAGTTGAATTATTCACTTATGTTATCATTCTTCTTTATTTGTTTGTTTATCTCTGTTTCCGCATGATTTCTCAAAAAAAAAAAAAATTGGTCTTCCTATTATTAAAACCATTTCTCATAATATATTCTTGTTTTTTTTTTTTTTTTTGTGTGTTTTTTTTTTTTTTTTATTATTTCTTTTTTAGTAGGTTGGGTGGTGTTAGATGTTTATACCTGACCAAAATCAGCTCTATGCACTGTACATGTTCTCCTGTGGGGAACATGGTGTCGGTAAACCAAATAAGGAGATGTTAGAACTTTTAGCTGAAGATGATCGGGCGTGGAATTCCCGATTGTCTAATGAGGCACAGGAACGTGGGGTATCTGTTAGTGATCTACAAGAAATTGAAGCTGACACTCTAGAGCGGCAGCAGGAACGCGATGCGGTGATACCATTAGCCATGCGGCGTATCTTTCGCCTTACCCCTCTCTCATACAATTACAATAGTAATAATAATAATAATAATAATAATAATAATAATAATAATAATAATAATAGCAATACGAATACTGAAGGAGACTTGAGTGGTCGTGTACATGTTGGTACTCGTGGGGCGCTGGCAATTCTCGATGTGGTGGAACATCTCCCATTTTTAGAAGAACTTGACTTATCCACTCTCACCTCCTTCTACACCGCTGACGCCTACGCTACCTCTGATGACAACATGCATGATGTGAATAAGCGTACAAACCATGTTAAGGGTACGAATGTCTCTGGTAATGCAGTGATTGCGGCTATCTGCCGTGTTGCCGCCACTCATCCGTCGCTGCGGGTGTTGGACATTCGTGGACATCCAATCGGTACAACAGCGGGCCACGCATTGCGAGAACTTTTACGCAGTAATCGCCGTGTACAAGTGTTGCGTATGGATCGCAGTGGTATTGATCATCACCTCCTTGCAGATATTGACAGGGAGTTGAATCAGAATGTTAATACGGTGCGGGAACGGCCGCAACTCCCACGCGTCGTTCCCGCCGTTATTGCACGACTGCCGACTATTGATCGCAAGACGGTGCGGGAACAACAACTATTACGGCGACTAATGGAGTCAGAGTATGGAATTGGTAATATGATGAATGCTGATGAACTGCGAGAGGCGGTGTTGCATGCACGCGTTATGTCCACTACAGCCGCTTTAACACGCAGTAATGGATTGCGGGGTGATGGTGTACATCTCTTTCTTATCAAATCAGGTGTACTGCGCGCTGGTGGGAACCCACGTCGCTTTGAACTCCGCCGTGGGGATTTCTTTGGTGATACTTATGAGGATTTACCATTCCCTCAAGAACTATTAGAGGAAGCAGAGCGGGGTGTGGTGTATGCTATTCCACTACAGTACTGCACCTCTCTCTGTACGGCGTGGGCACGACGTGTGGAATCTTTCTATCCGCTTGTGCGAAACTTAGCATTGTTGCAGGCGGTGAGTGTGTGGACACGTCTGCGTATTTGCTGCTGTGCCACTTCACGTGTATTTCATAACGGAGAGAATGTGATTGTACCAGGTGATACTTTTAAAGGACTCTTTCTTGTTACCGAAGGATCTTTTGGTGTGGCTGGACGCACAGCAAACGCCCCACGAACACATATGTTTATGGTTGGTGATATCTTTGGAGAGGAGTCTCTTGTATCCAGGCGGGAGTGTAGTTCTGTTACGATTGCTGCCGCAAGAGATGTAGAGACCAGCAGTTGTCTGTTAGTGGAAGGATGTGGAGCACGTGTTCTCCATAGTCATCTGCGGCCCGTACTGATGACACTTGCCTCTGCCTATTCGTTACACGAAGATCTTCAACCCATAAAGAAGTGAAAATACAAAGAGAAGAATATCTATATACATACGTATCCACTCTTACAGGAACATCGATGTAAATAAAGTATGTTTTTTTTGTCGTTTAGATTTTTCTTGCTCTCTCTTTTTTTCTTTCGTTATTTCGTTTTTTCTTCATTTATGGTATATATATATATATATATATATATATATTTTT